AATTCAAAAATGGATGTAAAAGAAAGAAAGAAAGAAAGAAAGAAATTTAATTGTGAATGTGGACTGAATTCATTGTACGACAACACGCCACATACCATAACTGAAACATCATTCTTGTGCATTGAGGCTTCTTGAAATCTTGGTAACTTATCTAAAGTATGTAAGCGCATAGCCCTACACCCACCTCCCGCCACACACGCACACACTTTTATTCCCCGCCCCTCTCTCTGTTTTGTTTAATTCTCCATCTTTTCCCCCTATTAGGTGAGAGGGTTTTCACTTCTCTGGTGGGTGTGAGACAAATTATGTCTTATTTTATTTCGAGTCTTGCATTTTTCCCCCAATTAATTAGAATTTTCTACCACGATTAGTTTTTTGTTTTGTTTTTGTTTTTTGTTTTTTTTTTTTTTTTGTTTTTGTTTTTTTGGGGTTTTTTTGTTTTTTGGTGGTGGTGGTTGGCTAATCAGATACTAACACAATTTTAATTTGTTTTCTTTTATTTTCATACCATTGTAAAAACAAAATCATTGAGATTAATATTTTTTAACACTACCCCCAAAATTGTAGATGTAATTTTTATTTAAGAAATTCATACAGAAGGACCCGGAAATATAATCCTTAACGGAAAAACAAGAGATAAACCTCTACGTCTGTTCAAAACACCTGGGAGGAGTATGAACCGGGTGATAGGCGAACCTACCAACTTCCAGTGAGAAAAAAAATAAATGAAAAATAGATCGTAAAAAATTCGGAGTTTAGGCGGAGACGTTCGAAGTATAGAGTTGAAGTAATCTATAGAAAGAAGCGGAAACCCAATCCTAAACAGAAAACAAGAGATAAACTACCATTCTAGTACAAAAAAAATAGAGAAGAGTATGAACTGGGCGATAGGTGAACCTATCAACACATTGAGGAAAATAAGTAAATAAAACATGAATAAATAAATAATAAAAATTTCAGATTTTAAGTGGCGGCGTCAGAAGTAGAATTTACAAGTCGAAATCAATTATATTTTCCTTTCTTTCGGATAAATAAAAAATAATAATATTTGATTCTTTGTATTAATTAGTTATTCATTGGATACCAATAACAAGTTCTTTGTTAAAGAAAAAAAAAACTTTCTCACTATTTGTAGGCTAGCATTAATTAAGGACTGACAGGCTCGCTTTCCAATCAAAGTCACAATCTATGTGGTTTCCTAAGTCTTTCGTTGGGATAACCTTGATTTGATAATTGACCGATGAAGGATGACAAAGAGAGAGAGAGAGAGAGAATCAGAAAGAGAGAGAAAAGGATCGATATTACGAGCTTGACACATTAATTAGCTAAATTTTGATATGACATTTTCACTGTGTCATGCGTAATGTGTGTGTGTGTACCTTGACGTGTCAAAAGTGTCTGGGAAATGTGCCGGTGGTATAAAGAATAACGGTTCAGAATGAGAAATCCGTGAGCCAAGTTCGAATTTCAGTCGAGTTTATTAGTTTACTTCAGATCTATACTTTTACTGTCTCCGCCTAAACTCTGAATTGTTTACTATTTATTTATCAAAGTTTTATTTTTTCCGCAATAGTTGTAGATAGAACCACCTATCGCCCGGTTCACACTTCCTCTCTGGTCTTTTGAAAAGGAGGAAAGGCTTATCCGTTGTTTCCTGTTTAGGATTGAGTTTTCGGTTCCTTCTAAATCCTATTCAATTCTATAATTCTAACGTCTCCACCTAAACTCCAAAATGTAAACTATTATTGGGTTTTCCAGTTGTTCAAATTCTACATCAACTCTAGCCTTCTAACGTCTACGACTAAACTGTATAATGTATACGATTATTGGGTTTCCGGTACTGTCTAAATTCTACTTCAACTCTATACTTCTAACGTCTCCGACTAATCTATAAAATGTATACTAATATTGGGTTTCCGGTTACGGCTAAATTCTATTTCAACTCTATACTTCTAACGTCTCCACCTAAACTCTAAAGTGTTTACTATTACTGGGTTTCCGGTTCCGGCTAACTACTACTTTAATTCTATAATTCTAACGTTTTTGTCTAAACTCTAAAATGTAGGTACCTCCAAAAATTCGTATACCTAAGGCTTAAATGTATTTTTCATAAAGGAAAATTTCTTTTTGATACTTTCCCTCAGCTTCAACTGAAATCTAGCGGATTAAGTTTTCTATTCCAGAATAAAGAATACTGTGGTGTATTTCAAATATCAAAACCAAAACTAATCGGCCATTTTTAACTTTTTTAGAGAAATGTAAGCACAACTAATTTTTCGGTTTTGAAAATCCCGCTAAAATAAAATATACATTTCTGAAACGTTACTTTCATAAAATTGGCAAATTTAAACTGTTCTGGAAAAAAAATTATCTGTTCTGAAACAAATATCACTTACTTATGACATAAATTTTTCTAAACACACATTTCTTGACCTCGGGATCTTGTTATTTTCACGTCTCCATCGATAATTTGATGGCTGAATGTATTGACAGGTTTAGTATGGTGCACCAGAATTGACATAAGTTTACGAATTCTAAATACGAACTTTTTTTTTTGGTTTCTTATAATGATTTAAAATGCTATAAAATTTTCTTATATTATTGAGTTAGCTCTATAATGCTATTTCATTTCTTAATAGCTAAGATAATGATAAATAATTTTATTAAATATTATATTATCAGTTATTACATTTTTAATTTAATAACTGAGATAATAATTAATAAAATTATTATTATATTAATAATTATATTATCTCACTTGGTTATTAATTGTTTAAATTGATAAATGAGATAATTTTATGATCTCAATTTAATTTTTAATTTAATAACTGAGAGTGAGATAATTTAATAATTATCTCACTCTTATTTATTAAATTTTAAATTGATAACCGAGATAATATAAGTTTAATTATATTATGTCAGTTATTAAATTAAAAATTAAATTATTAACACACTCTTAGTTATTAAATTTTTAACTAACTGAGATAATATATTTGTATTTTTATATTATTAATTGCTATACTTTGATGTTTATGAATTGTTAAAGTTATTTTATTTAACTCGCAAATAAGAATCTTAAAAAACTAAAAACAAATTAAATTATTTTTCTTTACTAAGTAAAAGAATTGATAAATAAAACAAATTATGCATGACACACACTATGAAAAGTATACACACTATATAAAGTAAGATGAATACATAGCAATTTTTTTTTAAATTAGTGAAATAGGAAAAAAAGCTTTAAAAAATCATCCCTTAAAGATTTAAAAAGAAGCCTGTTGAAATGTAGGGACGATGAAACACGGAAGTGAAATGAAAGTATTGATCGCAGCCGAAAGGGGGACTATCCTTGAGACACGTGACCTTTTAACCATAATATCACTTACGATACACCATACCAAAAAAAACTATAACATTTTGACGAGCAAAGAAATATATTTAATTATGGTAAAAGTTTTTGGGAGTATGATTTGTATTAAGATTTTAATTTTCGCTTAGTAAATATAGTCTTCAATTAATAACAGGATTTAGCATGCCACTCTGCTTCATCCTTTGTCCTATTTTGTTTTTTAATTTTCATTAACAATCTTCCCAGTGGCATCAGCTCTCAACTTGATATCTACGCTGATCACATAACCATTTACTCCTGTCTCCATAATAAATCTAATCAGTTTGATAAGGTCAAATTAGTAGTTGATCTCAAAAACGATCTACAGTTTGTTGTTAACTGAGGCAAAGAATAGCTTGTTAATTTTAACCCCTCGAAAGCAAAAATGCTTTCTATTAATCATCAGAGTCCCCTTTGTACCTTCCATCAGTATGGCTGATTCTAACTCCCAAGAGTGTGGCTCGTTGCGCCCTCTCGAGTTAACATTCTCGGCTGACATGAAATAGAAAGACTACATTGAATCCATTGCTTGGTCAGACTCTAAGAAAGTTGGTTCACTGTGTCGTATTAGACAATTTTTCTCTTTAAAATATATCTTATGTCTGTCATTCGCTATGCTTACAGTATTGCTACTACATATGTCCCCGTGCTCCTGCTATACATTTAGAGATTCTTGACAAATTCCAAAGAATAATCAGCAATATTATTGGTCGTGACCTAGTATTTTGTCTTCAGTCATTTTCCCACTGCTATAAGGTTGCTTCCCTTTGCCTTTTCTATTAATACTTTCATGGAAATTTTTCGGATGATAGTCATAGACTATATGAATTTAAACTCAGTATTCGATTGGTAATAAGGCCACATCCATTTACAGTTGAATTGGCTAAATGTAGCCATAAATTCTATGCTAACAGTTTCTTTTCTCGCATTTCTCGCTTGTGGAACTCGCTTCCGGTTCTATGCTTTCCGGCCAATTTTAATCTTCAAAAATTGAAGTCAATTTTTATATACTTTCTTCCTGACTGTTCTTCTTTTGTTTTCACTCTTTAGTAATATTTCTGCTTTCTAATTCTTTCACACACAGTAACCACATGTGTCTTAGTGGCTTTAGTGCCTTGCTTGTGGTAAATTCGATTTTAAAAAAATCAAAAATAAATTTCAATTATGGCTCTTTCGTTCAACCAAAGAAGAATTCTTGGAAAATATATTTTAACAGATAATTGATACACATGTCTTTTTATGTTGAAATCACTCATTTCGTAAACTAATGCAAACTGTAAATTGCTCCTGCTAATGAATTTGACAACATTAAACATTATAAAAATATGAAAAATATCCACTAAATTCAAATAGGATTTTAAAAAGAAATACACCGTATAATAATGCGTGTGAAAGTTGATATTATAAATATGATAAAAATCCGACTAGTATCTTCATCTTTGTTATTTTCAATACAAAAATTGAACTGCTATATTCATCTGCTTTTTTTTCAATACAAAACATTGAACGAGTATCTTCATCTTTTTTGTTTTCAATACTATAAAATCGGATTAGTATCTTCATTTTCGTTGTTTTCATTACAACGTATTTACAGATTTTGATAGCTAGCTAGCTAGATAGATAGATAGATTGATAGATAGTGAATAGAGAAAGAAAGAAAGAAAGAAAGAAAGAAAGAAAGAAAGAAAGAAAGAAATAGAATAGCACCATTGTTATTTCCATCTATTCTTGGCTAATCTAGCGCGGCAATGTAACGAAGTTTAAACATAGATTTGCCGCTATGAAGCGGGCCGTCCTATGATCCGGGATGACAGGGTCAGGGGATCAAAGATGGTGTGAAGTTGAAAAACCTAAAACTGACCATAAACTCAGCTCTAACATCACTGATATCACATCCCAATGCCTCAAAGCAATGAGTATTAGATAGATAGATAGATAGATAGATAGATAGATAGATAGATAGACAATTAATAGAATGACACAGATAGATAGATAGATAGATAGATAGATAGATAGATAGATAGATAGATAGTTAGATAGTTAGTATGAAGAATTTTACTGTGATTGCCACAAGAAAAACACAACAGAGAAACAAAGAGGACATAAAGCGAAAGGTTGGATTCGTGGTATAAAAAGTAAACAAAACATGGAATGTCTTTTTTGGCGGGCGGCTCAATTGGGAGTTCGGGGAGAGAAAAGTAGAAAGAAAAGTTTGCAAATAAGAAGGTGAATCAGACACGAACCAACCAGATAATGTCTCAAATGGGGATGTAAAAACATTCAGGGGGAAAAAAAACTGTTATCCCGATCAAAGGAAAGAAAAAAGAAATAGAACGAAAGCGACATTTGAAAAGGAGGGGGGGGCTAAGAAAAAATCCTTCAAGTGACCAAGAAGAGACAAAAGGAAACAATAAAATAATCTTGAGGACGGCAGGTGGAAAACGAACACATAATTGAGATCCTTTAGCGAGTATTTCGTGTTTTATTATACTTCACAACGCAACATTTAATTTGCGACGTTTATTTGTTAAGAGGGACAAGTAAATCGCCCCAAGAAAGATTCGAACTTGCACAACAGTGACACGTAAGCCATGAAACACTATTAATGGATAATTTAACCATCACCACAGGTTATGAAAGACATTTTGTAAAAAAATGAACGAATCAGAAGATTTATTTTCGGCACTGTGAATCAGCGAACCGAAGTGTTTATACCTTTCTAAACTATCCGTGACTTGTCTGTTCTTTTATATATAATTCTTAGAAATGATCGAATGCGAATATTTAACTAAGACAAATCAATGGCTAGATCGAAATTTAAAGGTTTATGCCAACTTTACAGTTTGATCGAACAATTGCAAATAAATTGATAGGGAGAGTTGATATTAAACAATAATAAGATGGAGATAAATTAATGGAATGTCATAATAAAAACAAGGGTAATAAGATGGGGAAGGCGATTAATAAAATAATATTAATGTTGTGATGAAAAGTAGCAATACAAGAACGAAATAAAATAATAAAAGAAGGTTGGGATACAATTTTAAGAGGTCACTTGACAAGTTACTACATAACCCAATACGATCTGCAGTATATACAGATCAAAGGTGACTAAACCGGTTCCTCCACCAGGCTTTTCTGTCAAAGGACCGGTGAACATTCTTTCTATCTTCCACAACTGGTTACACTGAGATGCATTGCCATGTATGCAACTAGACGTCAATGAGCGCGCAACGCTAGGCTGAGGGTTTCAGAGTCTGAAGTCAACGTCTCGAGATTCCTACACTGATGTCAAAGGTCATGGCTTCCTAGACTGAAGTCAAAGGCCAGGGATTCCTAGACTGAAGTCAAAGGCCAGGGATTCCTAGACTGAAGTCAAAGGCCAGGGATTCATAGATTAAAATCAACAGCCAGGGCTTCTTCGACGGAAAACGACTCGGGCTTATTAGACAGGTCACCGGCCAGGACTTCTTACTCAAATCAACGGCCAGTTTTACTTAGATTCAAGTCAATCGTCAAGGCGTCCTAGACTGGAATCAAGAGCCAAGTCTTCATGTACTGAACTCAAACAATATGACATCACATTTTTGACAACATAATATGGTTGTCAAGAAGATGGCCAAATATATGAGAAATGGAGAATAAAAAGAAATTCATTTTCTGTTATGTAATAATTAATTTGTAATATGCAAATCTGGAAAAGAACATTTAGGACATAAATAAATCGATTTTCTTGTCATTCGTAACGCAATAGATAATAGAAAATAATAGCTTTTGAAATACAAGATTGCTAATAGATTGTGAAATTGAAAATTTGCTAGGAGATCTTAAGAATTTGTTAACAGCTTCGTAAAATGCAGGTTTTATTAATAGCTTGCAAATATAGATTTGCTAATAGCTTTTGAAAAAAGGGTTTTGCTAATACCTTGAAAAATAAAGGTTTGCTAATATCTTGTAACCTATTGGTTTTGCTCCTAATATACAAAATATATGTTTACTAAGGATGTGCCTGGGTGGTGTCATGGATATCGGCTCGGATTGAGAACTCGGAAGGCCAAGTTCGAATTCCAGTTAAATTCATTAGATTCACACGCACATATACTCTTAGGAAAGATATGAATCCATCTCTTCTCCCCAAGCTATGGGTTGAATAGCAGGACAGACTGAGTTCTTTGGCCTTGGTTGCCAACTAGTCTACTTCAGAAAGAAATGGCAACCTATTGCGGGAAAAATCTGCCTTGTTCATCATGTATCGAAAGATACATGATCGCCCAAGCGTGTATCACGTTTGGCAATTAACTGACTGAATAACTTTAAAAATAATTGCTTATAAAATACAGATTTTCTTAAATTAGCAACACAGATTTTCCTAATATCTGATAAAATTCTGATTCTGATAACAACTTATAAAATATAAAGTTTGCTCAATATTTGTAAAACTCATATTTTGCTAAAAGTTTGTAAAATACAAGATGCTGGGCGGGACTGACTGCATATCACGTGAGAACATTCCTTATCTTTTTTTCTTCTTTTTTTTACCCTAGCAATGATTCGAGACAATTTTATTTTCGCTACATAATGGGTCTCCGAAAATACTACATTACATTTTTGACAGCCTAATATGTAATGTGAATGACAGGAACTTTATTTTCGGTGAATCCACATCCTCGTTATCAATTTACGGTAGAATAAGTTAATGATGCTCTTCTATTTTTGTTTATATCAGCAAATTTACTTTCTGCCGTATTTTTCTTCTAAAATTCTTTAAGGCTGAATTTGTTTGCTCGTCGACAACACGTTTGAGAAAATTGTTGTTGATAAGTGTTTCAAGTCGGTCAAATTTTTTTCTTTTTTTTTCTTCACAGACATTAATTTAGAAAGAATTGCGAAATATAGTGAAATTGTCTCCGCTTGCTTTCTGTACGGTTTTGAATGCAAAGTAATCGTAAACTTGCTGCGACACAAGGGCCAGAGATCCCAGTCGACCCTTCTATTAACCTGTTCTCTTTCCGGCTGAATAACTCAAGGTTTTTTCAGTGATTCTTAGAATAAATGGTGGCAAGATGTTTAAACATCTTATCTAAAGACCTGTAAAAATGAAACTATATTAGTTCAGTGGTTTTTAGATATTAAACATTTTGTCGAGTAGACAATTATGCTGTTACACGATTTGTACAATTTTGCTGTAACACCCGGTATATATATTGTGACGAAAGCAGATAGCCTACACACGCATATACACATATATTAGGGTTAATTTCCGCCTAGCAACAGTATAAAGGTCACGTGGGAGTCTTATGACATTTTGGGAAGGCAGGTCAAAAGGTTGACTGACCCAATTACCCGTAGCGACAAATGTCTAGACAGAAGCTAAACAGGGGACTGATGTAAGCTGGAATTCGCGCCAAAACTTAAGACACGTGACAGTCAGAGATTCACTCGAGAATCAGTTGCTATCTTAACTTTAAAGAGGCAAGACCTGAAGCCGAAGCGCTGATAGCTTATGAACGGAAAGATAAGACTCATTTGATAGTGATGGAACTTATCCAGTTCAACCCAGGCAACTCCGGACAAGAAATATAACAAGAAGTATTCCTGTTCGAGAACCCCAAATTGAAGACGCAGAGAAATTCATATGCTGAGGATTCAGCTTGCGTTTGAAGAAAAAGGAAAACCAGAGAAGAAAGTTTATATCTCTGTTATAAGTTGAATTGTGTAAAGAAAAGAAAAAGGAAAACAAAGAGAGGAAGAAAGTGTATACCTCTGTTACAAGTTGAATTGTGTAAAGAAAAGAAAACGGATATCCAGAGAAGAAAGTATATACCTCTGTTACAAATTGAATTGTGTAAAGAAAGAAAAAGGAAAACCAGAGAAGAAAGTGTATACCTCTGTTATAAGCTGAATTGTGTAAAGAAGAAGAAGGAAAGAAAGAAGAAAACCAAAGAGAGGAAGAAAGTGTACATCCCTGTTGCAGTGAGTCGGATTTGGAAACCGAACTGTCTACAGAAGAAAAAGGAAGGAAAGAAAAAGGCAAAAAAAAGAGAGGAAGAAAGTGTATACCTCTGTTACAGCCGGACAGTGTGTGAAATTGTGTTTGTGTCGAGAAAAGAAAAGAAAGGACAATGATAAAAAAAGAGAACTGAATATAAAAGATAAATAATCATATTTTGGACCCGGAATAGAAAGATATACATACATCCATGAATATTATGTTCTTGCAAACACCTTTCCACGTGTCAAAACAATAATTGTAACTCCTATCCCATCTCTTTTGTGCGTGCGTTGGCTTCTGCATTCAATTCATAGTAATTCATACTTATATTTTTGTATGTTCAGGTTCAGTTGAATCCATTTGGTGTTAGGGGAATTTTGATATCCCAACCTAAGTTTTGAGATCTGGTCGTCGGATGTTTTAACTCATACTTATCTGTTCGTTTATTTTGATATTTGTATATTTTTACATATTAAAATTCTTGCATCAAAAATCGCTTATAGCCTTATAGTTCATCCTTGTATTGTGGATCAGTATTCGTGTTGAAAACGAAGCGGACCTGGGAAAGATTACTGTTCGATTATCCCAATCGAACAGTGGTCCTAAAAATATTTTTGTTTACCAATTGTCCATTGTCACGATCTGGGAGAGATAGCTTGTATCTCTCCACAGGTGTGAGAATGTATATATCTCATAGTCGGCGTATGATCGTCTTATAAACCCATTAGGGGCGACTGGGGCATATGACTATATATATATATATATATATATATATATATATATATATATATATATATATATATATATATAAGTATGATGAGAACGAATCGTTATGCGTTGAAACACGAATGCAACTGTGTAGTGATTTTTACTTGTTTTTCCGTCCTGGGTATGACGACAAACTGCATCCGCGTCCTGGGTAAGACGATAAACTATGTCCAACAGCAAGGCCTCTGATTAATTGCTGGTGTTCCCAGGTCCACACTGACCCGAGGTTGTAGTCCCTGTTAGGGTCACAGCTATGGCCAAATAGTTAACCACCAAACCAAGATCTCGTCTTGGGTATGACGATAAACTACATCCGCGTCCCGGGTAAGACGATAAACTACGTCCAACAGCAAGGTCTCTGATAATACGTTTTTGAAAAACAATGTTTCTAGCTGTAAGTTTTTGAAAAAATAATATTACCAGCTATACATTTTTGAGGAAAAAAAATATTAACAGAATAGATTTTTGACAAAACAGAAATATTACCAGTAAAAAAAAAAAGTTGTCGGCATTAAATGACCCATTGAAGTTGATATACCGTAAAACAAAACAAACCGAACTTACTTGTTTTTTTTGTAATATCCTAATATTAATATATATATATATATATATATATATATATATATATATATATATATATATATATATATATATGCAGAAATCTTTATTTTATACATGTTTTGTTAAATGGGACGGACAAGTAAATTTTTTTTTTCTAGTGTTTTTCAAATGTTTCTTTTTGAAAGGGCTAAAAAAGTGTAGAAATTGACAGTAGGAATTATTGCCTCAAACGTTTTCTGCTAATTCTTTAGCCATTTTCAAGAATATTTCTTTGATTTGCGACAATAATCACCACCACATTTTTATACTGTTAGAAAAATAATGAAATTCTCCTTGGCAGTCTCATACAATGAAGCATATATATATATATATATATATATATATATATATATATATATATATATATATATATATAGTTGTATAGGCATATATAGTTATATATATATATATATATATAGTTTATATTTAGGTATATATATATATATATATATATTTGTATATTTATATATATATATATATATATATATATATATATATATATATATATATAGTTGTATATTTAGGCAGCAATCCTTTGTTTATGCATGTTTCATTAAAAACGACAGACAAGGTATTACGGTTATGCTTTTTATTTAATTTTTCTTGTGTTGAAACAAGAGATTTCTTTCATTCTTTTCCGAATGTTCTTTTTATCCGCGCGTTTTCGGCTATACATTTATCCATATTCAAGGATTAAATATTTTAACTGCTAAATAAGAAATAGTTTGTTGCATGTATGGTTTATAAAATGTTTTCATTTTTCAAAACACGCTTAAGATATTGTGTCTATGTTCATAGTTAATATTATTAAGTTCTGTTTTTTTTTTGTTTGTTTTTATTAATAAGACATCCATTATTTTTAGTCTTTTTTTTTATTTTGCATGTAGATAATGCTATTATATTTGGGTTGTCAACAAGTATGTTACGAATAGTGTCCGGTAGGTCTCCCTGAATATTTAAATAAGATCTAATAATAAAATAATGGAAGCTTTATTAATAAAAACAAAAAAAAAACAAAAATATATATATACACACACACATATATATATATATATATATATATACATACATATATATATATAAAACGAACTCTATATATATATATATATATATATATATATATATATATATATATATACATATATACATGTATATATATATAAAACGAATATATATATATATATATATATATATATATATATATATATATATATATATATATATATATATATATAGTTTATACATGGAGTTTGTGTTTTTGTTTTGATTCTTTTTTTTAGACAACAGCATTTATCAAAAAATCTTGAGAGAGAACAAATTTAAATAAATAAGCACGTAGTATTCGATAAGGTTGGTTTATGTCAGTCGGATCGTCTTCAAGACTGAGGTCAATTGGTCAGACACATGACAAAGGTGACAGTGAGCCGCGGGGTGGGGGAGGGGGTGGCGGAGGAGATATGGTGGACGTTTATGGACTAATCTTAAAGGTAAAGAAAGAGATAAGAAAGGGACAACAAATCGGTTCTGCAAGTTTTCCCCAAAAAAGAGCAAACTGTTTTTTTTTATTTGCCAGCTGATAACGTTTCCGAAATGCCAGAGTAAAAGACACCAAACAAACGCGATAACACACACGCATGCATATATATATATATATATATATATATATATATATATATATATATATATATATATATAAGGAAGGAGCGTATGGTGATTATCTACATGGGGGAAGACGATGATTTATCGAATCGTGAGACCTCAAAGGTAAACCTTTATGCCAGATGTAAACAAGCAAAAAGGAAATAAGAAAGATTGAGAAGAATTATTGCAAGTAAAAAAAATAAAGAATGAGTTTTTTGAGAAAAGATGGAAAAGAAAGAAGATTAATTGCAAAAATTGTAAAGGAAGAAAGAATGAATGAATGAATGAATGAAGGAATGAATGAATGAAGGAATGAATGAATGAATGAAATAAGAATGAGAAAAAGAACTTTGAAAAAAATAGTAAAGAAATAATTGTAAAAAATTCAAAAGAAAAAAATGAAGAAAAGAATGATTATTGTGAAAAAAAGATAGAAGACGGGTTGCAAAGAAAGAAAGAAAGAAAGAAAGAAAGAAAGAAAGAAAGAAAGAAAGAAAGAAGAGGGGTTGCAAAGAAACAAAGAAGGAAAAACTATTACGAAAAAAGACAGAAAAGAAAGAAAGAGGTTGCAAAAAGCAAGAAGGAAGTAAAATATTGCTAAAAAACAGAAAAGAAAGAAAGAAAGAATGAAAAATGAAAGAAAGGAAGGAAGGAAGGAAGGAAGAAGAGTGGTTGCAAACAAAGAAGGAAGGAAAAACTATTACGAAAAATAGGCAAAAAAGAAAGAAAGAAAGAAAGAAAGAGAGTGGTTGCGAAAAGCAAGAAGGAAAGAAAAATATTGCTAAAAAACAGAAAAGAAAGAAAAAATAAAAGAAAAAAGAAAAAATAGGAAGGAAGTAAGGAAGAAGAGTGGTTGCAAAGAAAGAAGGAAGGAAAGACTATTGCGAAAAAGAAAGAAAAGAAATGGCAATATAAAAAAAGAAAGATGATCGATTACAAAGAAAAAATAAAGAAGGAACATTGCGAAAAAAATCGCAAGAAAAAAAAAGACATTAGAAATGGCAATAATAGAAAGAATTTTTTAAAAAGTTTGAGGTGGAAGAAAAAGAAAAAATATGAATCTTTCCTGAAGCTTTTATTTTAGATTTAATTAAAAGCTAAAAGATTTAAAATGTATTATTTTCATTAAGCAAAATACTTTGTGGTGTATTTCAAATAGAAATTATATTGATCCTAATGCATTTTTTACAGCAAAATCGATAAACGGACAATTTTTGACAAATTTGTAAACAAAAGTTAAATCTCGGTTTTAAAAATCTTGCAAAAATAAAATATCTATTTCAGAAACTTTATTTGAGGAAAATTAGCAAATTTGATTTTAAATTAATCTGATTTGAAATAAATATTACTTACTTATAGTATAAAATGTTGTATACAAACATTCCTTAACTATGGGGTCTTGTTTTTCTGACGTGTTAATCGATTTATTCACAGCCAATTGACAGCCGAACGTGTTCAAAGTTAAGTATGATAGAATAGACGACAAAGTTCATATTAGGGGATTTTTCTCGTAAGGGAGGGGGACAACCCTTATCACACATACAAAGACAAATCGAAATACTTTTAAAAATATTCGAGGTCGTCAGATTGAAATAAGCTTTACAATATATGATTAGTAAATGTAGTTTTACTTAATAACAATATTTTCTAAGAGTTATCTAATTGAAAATGAATTTTTAAAACTTTATAAATTATTTGAAATTGTAAAAATGAAAACAAATCTTGCAAAAATTAACTTTTCATCGATTTTTTTTCCTAAGACACTATTGTCATTAATAAATGTTATTCATAAAAACAATTAAAAGCTTCTCTAATTAAATAATGTCTTAGTTTTATTGAGTTTTTTTTATTTTTCGATTGAGAACAGATTTTCGGTAAGACGGGATCTGATTTCGAAAAAAAACAGTGATTGAAATTCTTTAAAGAATTCTGCTTTTAACTAATATAGTCAATAAAAGTTATCACGTTGAAATTCTCAATATTATAATATATATATATATATATATATATATATATATATATATATATATATATATATATATATCTTTGCTAAGATTTTAAAAAAAAAATCCAAAAATAAGTTCATTCATTGGTGAATAAGTCCTGAACATTTCATTAAAATCCGACAATTATTTGATTTTTGAAAGGAAGCTATAATTTGCTATACAAAAATATAGTATATTCGCTGACGTAAGTAAAAGATTTTTAATCAAAATTTCGAATGTTCTAAAAAGGAGTAAAAAATTTTACTTAAATATTCAAAAATACTTTGATTTTACTTCTTAATAATAACATAACGATTTTAACGATAAAACTATGTTTTCATTGCGTTTGCAGCATGGTTTCATCATGGTATTTCATGAAGGTGCCGACTTAACTGTATCCAATAATAATGCATGTAATATTCACATATTAGTATCGTATTATAAAATACAAACATAGCGAATATGCATCTTTTCCTTTGTTTACGTTTATAAGATGATTAACTATTTTTGTTTATGGCTTTATGCGTTTACGCAATGAGTATAGCGTTACTAACGATACTTTTATCATTCTCTTTTACTTTTTGAACTTATTTAACTAGAAAATGAGATGAAGAGATAGAGGAAAAGAGGTTAGTCTATTGTGATTTCGTCTCTCAAAAAAGGAACTCGCATGATACACAAGATAGATGATAAAATCAGTTTTTATAAGCGACAATTTGGGGGTCGTGAGGTCACGCCTTATACAAATATATACGGTATATATATATTTTCAAGAGATCCTGTAATCTTTGCCACTCTTTATTTATGATAAATATAAAATAAGGCCACACGAATTAATAATGACATTACGATTACTGTATCTATTATGAAACAGTTAATAGATGAGAACAAACATATGGTAGGGCTGCTCCGAAAGAATCACCTCCTGAAGCGACAACAGATACCCGAAGTATAATGACACCGTTGGACAGAACAAGTTTTCAACAGAACAAGTTTTCAACAGAACATTATTTTTCTTCATTGACTATTTTCACCAAACAACGAACAATAGCTTTCTTGTAAAAAAAACATTCAACAATGTAGGCGGTCCATTTTTACCACACATCCGTGTCGCCATTGCTGAAAATCTTTAACTACCGCCTAACTGTGCTCACATCCACTGTTTGGTCTTCATAAACGATCAGCAAGAGTTGGTAAATATCAGTAACTGAATTTCTTCCCGCAGGAACGAATTCAATGACATATTTGTTTTGTACTTACTTTCATATCAGACACCATTATGCTAAACTGCTGTTCAAGTTCTATTTATAATATGGCCTAAACTTTATAGGTCATTAGGGGGGAGGTTCAATCTCTAATGTCATAGCACTGACATTTGCCTCTGGTCTCGGGTGCCAACATAATAACTTAGAAGGCGTTTCTTTCGGATAAAAACCACAGAGATAGACATCAAAACTGATCGAGATAGACAGAGATAAACAGGCAGGCAGATTACATCTCACAGGATAAAAATTGGTATTTATTGTTTTTTGCAGGGACAAGCAAATCAATTATCCATTTCCACCCTCATCCTAATTCGTACTATTGGAGCCCCCCCTCCCCTGTGGAATTCAGAGCCACAACCTCACCAGTTATTGCAGAACCGCAACCTCATTAGTTATTGCTACTGTGGCTCCTGTAGCGCATGTCAGTTTTTGCGAGTTGGAGTTGCCAGCCCCACGCCTATCTGGTTTTGGAATTCAGAACTGTCCTTCTCCTAGATTGTTTGCCAACCAAGGCTAGAGAACCTAGTCTACCCTGTTATTTAACACATAGCTGCGCTCTGGGAGAAGAGGTGAATTCATACACTTCCCAAAGGTATTTTTGTAACTCAACGAAAATTCCTCATCGATCGATTCCTCATTCTACGCTAAGCGCACGTTCCAAAACGCTATCAACCGCCCGGTTCAAACCCCTTCCCTATCTTTTGAACAGGAATAGATATTTACTCCTTGTTTCCTATTTAGGACTAGGTTTCCGGTTCCTTCGCCTAAAGTTTTCTTATTTTTCTTTTTCCCCCAAAGCAACCCCTGGCGTCTTAGTGGCATTATTACCTTATATGGAGTGAACATTATTGTAATTATTTACATTGTTCAGACCGTTGCAATCGTTATAGGCACATTCCCAACGTTTCGGCCCTTGTACGCTCCGGTTTTCTTCAGGCTCTTACTCATATTTACGTCCCGGCCGTCTTCAGGTTATATTTTTTGCGATTTCGAAACGAACCTTTATTTAGATTTTGTTCTAATTCCACCTGCTATGACTTTCGATATCACAGTTTTAGTTATAACTTGATAACTTGATAACACAATTCTCAAAGTTATTGTTGTCTCTGCTGACGCCAGGGATTGAACTCACAATTCTTCGGGTCAAATCACTTTTAGGATCAGTTAACTAACACTATTATCCACTGCACCGAGTCTCCTCGGGGAATTCGACTTCATTCGTTTCATTTATCTTTTCATACAATATCTCAACAGATATTTCAACAACCGTTGTGGAGGGTTGGTATTTGACTTCGTGCCACTAACAAAAGTGGAATGTCGGTGGACTGCAATAAACAAAACAAAGACTTGATTAGTAAAATGAATGGCCACTGTTTATTGACGTCCGTAGATATAAGATGCGGAGGTAGAAAGAGAGAATGGTTTGACCTCAAGTCAGCCTGGCGTTAAAATGAGGGTGACCGAATCTCTCTTTCGTTGCGACAGTGACCAAACACGTCCGAACTCAATGTTTGGGAAGTGAGAAGAGAACAATCATCTCTTTTCCGGAAGTGGGGTCATAAAATTCACACGTGACCGAAAACCCCTTTTGGTTGCCTTTTGCATTATGAGAAAATGAAATTCTTTAATTTTTTTATAATTATTTTATTTACTTTTTATTTATTTTCATTCTCCCACATCGTCAAAATTAAGAACTTAATATTTTATCAATATTTTCTTTAAAAGAAAAAAACACTTCACACTATTTCTATTATTCGGACTATTAACCTCTTTAAATCTAGCGTCTATTTTATATAGCGTCGTCATCTGCACCTATTTTCATACAGCAATATTTCCCTTATTTACATTATTCGGACTATTGTCCTCATCTTTGTCACCATATTTATTACAACGTTTCGGCCGTTGTACGCTCCGGCTTTCTTCATGTGGTTGGAATGTCGAACTGAACCCTTTATTTCGCTTACTGGGGAAGACTGTTCTAGTTACACGTGACATGTTTAATGGATGTCAGTTATCAGTCCTTGAGGACACATGGCACAGTGGATAAGGGCGTTAGTTAGATCTAGTGACAGGACCCAAAGAGTGTGAGTTCAATACCCGGTTAAGGCAGTGGAGAAATTGGAGAGGGGAATTAACAGGAGATAACTGATATTCCAACCACCTGAAGAAGGCCGGAGCGTCCAACGACCGAAACGTTGTAATAAATATGGTGACAAAGATGAGGACAATAGTCCGAATAATGTAAATAGTGTGCATATTAACTCATCTCAGAAATAGAGACAGATACTGAAGGGCCGAAACGTTGTGATAAATATGGCGGCAAAGACAGAGACAATAGTCCGAATAATGTAAATAGTGTACATAATACCTCACCATCAATACCTCATTTCAGAAATATAGAGAGCTAATTCACACTTTGTCCTTTCAGGGTGCACGGCTGACAGGGTACATCGCTTTCTTTTGCCTTGGGTGGCAAAAATTGACATTTAAAATGCGTTGCTAGCATAATGGTTATCAGCGCTGAAAGCGAGCAATTTCACCCTAGTGTGTTACGTCCACTAATGCCCTTGGGAAAGGCATAAATCTATCTCTACTATCAACTTTGGACTGAGTAGCAAGCTAGACTAGCTTGGGAAGCCTTGGTTGGCACCAGTCTAGGACAAGGAATACAATGAATTCAAAACCGCGAAGAAGGTAACAAGAAACCACTC